GGCTTTGGCTAGCCGAAGGCTCCGGTTGTGGATTCCTCAAGAAAATTCACCTGCCTTGGCCTGGGCAACCTGGCAGTACTCAGCCCACAAGCCAATCATGGAACATTTTTCTTTTCATAAAGATTATTGTACCAAGATTTGTTTGGCACACAGTCTGTCCTCAGACAAGTGTGAAATATAAATATATATATATATCTTTGAGGATCGACACATATTTCTCAGGTATTCCATTCCTCAGCAAACAGTTCCATAGTGCAGTCCTATCGACAAAGTCGAAGGCCGAGCGAATGTCTAAGAATACAATGACCGTTGGTCTTTGGTGGGCATGACGGTGCTCTAGCAGCGCGAAACCTAGCCTGATCCCCACGGGTCTGCTCTTCACGCGTGGTGTACAATCGGCAGAGAATGACGGACGCCAACAACTTCGACGCTATCGGGATCAGGCTTATACCCCAGTGATTGGCACAATCACTGCGCGGGCCCTTTTTGAAGATGGGGACAACAATCTATTCCCCCACGAGGAGGGGACTTGGTCAGTGTTCCACACCTTGGAGAACAGGACTTGGAGTTCTCTAACAAACTTTATTCCACCATCTTTAAATAGAGCAGGGGGAAGGCCATTGGAGCCCGGCGCTTTGTGACGACCCAAGGTTTGGATCTGCTTGCGGATTTCCGCCTCAGAAGGTGGGTCTGTTGTAACAGACCTTGGGACGTTTGCCGGGATAGCTGTGTGAGGAGCTGACGCTGGTGGCCAGCTAAACTGTGCTTTGAAGTGCTCCGCCCAGCGTTCAAAACGTCATTGTTGATTGTGAATGGGCGAATCACCAGCTTCGCAGATTGTTTCGCTCACATCCAAGGCTTTTCTACCGGTGACCCGGATGAGGTGAAACAGCAGAGCTGAATGCTACCAGGCGCGTCTACGGGTTGTGGATAGGGGGATACCTTCACAGAAGGTTAGCTGTTGATAAGTTGTGGCATACCGCAACAAATAAGCAGTCATGAACAAACAACGGCGGCACTAACAGGGTGTGGTGAGTTACTGGCTGGTCACCTGGCTCCTGTTGAAAAGCCGGTGTCGTGACAAAGGTCAAGGTGACTGGCCTTCAAAGCTCAGGTCATTGACCCCCTCTCTTCCGAGGTGAGGGATTACTTCATGCTGCCTTGCACTTCGGACTAAAGGTGTGCCCTCAAAATGAAAAACGCAGAGTGACGCTGGAAACGTCTCTCGTACCAAACTCCGAAGGAACTTCATGAACATGATCATGTCTGGAGCCGGCTTTTCCTTTCCAAGGAGCCAGCGGCAGTAAAGTAAGCAAGACACGCGAAAATGTAGATGGAAGTAGAGTTCGTGCTGGCACCGTTTCATTCACTATTCAACATTGATTCAAGGCGTCATTCTGGTTGTTGTCTTCGATTTTAACACCATACCGGCAAGATCGATGCGAACCTACCCGGGGTACTGAGGGTTACTTTCAAAATCCACGGGCGGCTCCTACGATAGCCCGTTGAGTATGGAAGCCGGCTAATTGAGGTGGTGAAAACATGGAGGGCATCCAATCCGCTGCCATGAAATTTTGCAGATCAATTGTCGCGTATGCAAGCACAGCTGGTAGGCCTTGAAAAAAGAACAGCTTTCGATCCAGACGGACCATTGCGCTCGGGGAATACGCTTCTTACTAGGTTGAACCCCTTGGCGGTGTTTTCAACCGTTGTTTCTAGGATAAGAAGCACGCTTATTGTTGGAGAGCTGCGCACATCATCACACCAGTCCCGAAATAGGAAGCTGAGGAATTCTAACACCAATCGCCTGAATTTCCTAACGACATATGAAGATTTTACGTTTGATAACAATATTCCGAACGCTGGACTGTCAAATCACCGAGAATTCGCTTAACAGAAACGACATTCCACCTTAGAAGTTATTGCCTACTTGGTGAACTCAGTCGGAAACACCGTTAGATGGCTCAGCCAGAAAATAAGCGCATTCCCAAAACACGATAGGATACAGTCTATCGGAACAGGAAGCTTTTGTTGTTTCGAGGCACATCTGCTGTGACCGCATCTGAGTAGAATTGACCTGCAAAACTTTATGACAGTCAACTGATCGGAAATGTGATTCCGATACGTCCATTTGAGATAACGTGGCAAATATGCCATTGAATTCAGCAGCTGTGAGTTGAGGCGCGCGTAGTTCGTTCTAGAGGGCTTTTTCATTGCACTCCACAGGTGCTTGTAATTACAAACCAACAAATACAAAACCTTCTCAGATTACATTTTCCAGTTTTGATCATCAATGATATCCATTCGACTAAAGCTCGATCACAATTTTGTATACCGGTCCTTAATTTTCCTGAAGAAATTCCGAGTAGGGCAGGGGATAAAATCTGACAGGGCTGATGTAAAAAGGGGCCATGAGGAAGCAGAGATCAGAACCGAAACTTAGGTAACCATTGAGGTGTTCACACTCGACCGACTAGGATCATAAAATCGCTCAATATATATGTGAAACCATTTATCCCAACGATGCTAACTGTAACGGGTCACCCAGACTAGGAAAAATCTCACTTTCAGATGCATGTGTCGGTGTCATGATGTTTCTTTTCGTTGATTTTCCGCAGAACATTTACGGAACAATGATCGGAGTTTGTTAGGGAGGTTCCTCTTCGGACAGCAGATGGCATGAAGTAGTTCGAAAATGAACTGTCAAGTTGTGCATGTCCTCTTCTCGGGAAGTTTATAAGGTTTTAATTAAAATCATCACCAACGATGGAAAGCGAGCAATTAGTGTAGTTAGAAAGTTCTGGTATCGATGTATCAGCAAAAGCCTGTACATCAGAGGTTTTACTAGGGTGGGGGCGAGTGATATCTCAGTGTCTGATGCAGCTACCATCAAACAAGTTTCACTGAGAAAACGGGGTTCATATTCGACAAAATAATAGAACTGTGTCATAGCTTGTAGGTGAAGAGCATTTTTGTTGACTTACACCGAAAAGATTTAGAGAACATTGATAAACCTCAACTGCTATTTCGTGGTATAAAGATTTGAAACAAACGGTGCACCGTACATTGAAATCAAGCTGAATCAAAGAATTATTAATGTCAAGATGCAATAATGTATCTTGCAGTACAACTACGCCTACTGCATGGTATTTACATTCTGATCAGTTGCATGAATACGTTCATGTTTTCCCAACAGCGATCAAACATTCAACCGGGGGAGGGGTGAAACCAGGCGTAGACATGTTCCGGTGTGTTGTATTGTACAAAGTCAGCGAGCAGGTGCCTTTTGAGGATAGCAGGTCTCGATAATCCATTTTGTTTTGCATCCTTTGTTGTACACGCAGCACATGTTCCTGGATGTCCGCTTGAGCTGATTGAAGTTCACGCTTGTTTGCCGAACTGCTAAGACCTGTTCACTTTACATGTCGTTCGGTAAACCTCTTTCTGGACAGAAAACCAAATCACTTTTTTGTTCATACGCTTGTAGTGTTTTCAGCCTTTTGCTCTACAATGAAGAAGGATAATTACGGCACCATAGAATGGAAGATGTCAGTTGGACTGAAAAGCGACTATTGCTTGCGTAATCACGCAAAATCACACTTATATTGACCGTACTGGTTTGGCAAATGAAGTTGATAATTCCAAATCTTAACGGACAGTTCGATAGTTGGTACGCTAAATTAATCAACTGTTTGCGACTCGATGGTTACTCATGTGTCTGGCGCATAACAATTACAATTTGTTATTTTTCAGGAAAAAACCGTACCATCAACTTTCAGCAAGACAACTTCGACCAATCGAAGGCTGGCAGGGTACACAAATACGTGGGGGATTGAGGTTGAGAAGGTGATGACGGGGGCGCAAAAGCCGATACCAGGTAGATCTATACCACTTAGTTATCATCATCTACCGGTTAATAGTCTATTAAGCGGTTGGGGTTTGGTCTAGAAAATAGCAATGAACTCGATCCCTGGTGTGTGACAATTCACGATATCTGAAGTTCAAACCCATTGAACGACCTTCTGTTGTGTGACTTCTCAGTGTGGAGCTATATAACGATCGAGCGTGAAGATTGCACCTAGTAGGACGGCTGTATTTACGTAGAGCAATGGGAGAGATTCGGTACGGTTATCTGGGGAGAGAGAGAGAGAGAGAGAGAGAGAATGGATGCCGTATTATACAGTTTTGACGATGAGCAAAATGCGAAGGACTGCTCTCCACATGGTTTGTTGTCCGGGGCCTAGCGGATTGGAGTGGATATGCTCGGGAGAGGATTCCGTCGGTTCAGCTGTAGATGATTTTGATCCCACTATAAATTAAGAGTCAGATCCCAATTTGCTTGTTTGCTTTTGATCACAACACTTGAGATATGAGATTTTTCGAGGCATTATCGACAGACGACAGTAACGTCGTATGCATGTTGGATAACAGAACACGACAGAACAGTCTGATAGATGACCACCTGAGGACGACAGATCAAGGCAATCGTTGGAGGAAAAAATGACCACACTAACCTGTGTTCGAGACGGATGGTATACCGGAAGTGAACAGAGTGTACGGCCTGGCAGGTGCAGTCATGCTGGGACGACGAGTTCGACAGGCCGACATAGTGCCATGTTTGTCCAACACCCGTGGCTGAGTTCCACCAAACACATAAACCAACGGTCGGAATAGAGTGGGCACATGATTCGGAGGGATTCCTGAGACATGAGGGCAAGGTAAGTACAGACTAGCCACGGCACGTCGACGTGCTGAAGGCCAATGTGCTCTCACTACTGCATCGTCAGCGAAGCATTCCGTGGTGACTTGTGTCCATACATTGTCCGACAAACGGTAGCGCCACACGTCGTGAAAATGTAGCTGCCATTGTTCGGCGGTTTGGCATCGCACAGTGCCGAATGATATATATAAGTTCCCATTGTAAGCCCCTGAAAGACAGAGATAACAAAACATGGAAAAATTTTACAGATATCAGCCAGGGGGATAAAATAAAAACAGGCTTATGTGCGCAACCTTCATTCACTAACCTGATGAAGAATGAGTGAGTGAAACATGACAATTAAACAGTGATATGCCAGCATTTTAAATATATCACAGGCGTATAATAGAGTTTGAGAGAAATATGGTCTGGAGATACCTCCGAAAGCTTCAATGTGGTTGGGGTGCGTGTTTTGGGTTGCGGCTGATCATCCCTCCTTTGCACCTCAAGCGATGCTTCTATAAGAAGACCATCTCAAATAGCTTCTGCTAAGGAAGCCCTACTCAATGCCTTCTCTCGGCAGAGGTGATTTACTACCAAAATGACAGGATGAAAAGCCAATACCCAGGGCTATAACAGGGTCGGTGAACCACTGGTAGTCCATCTAGGGGAGTTGGCTAAAAACCCCGATTTCAAACCAACCAAGAGGAGGCGTACGAACCACACACCTTCCTGGCCAGAGGTAGTGGTTACCGGCTTGATTGCGCATTGAAGTATATTAGGTACCTTGGACCCCATCCAAATGGCGTATGATTCGATGAACTGGAAACCGGCCCCAAAACGAACTGCGGTTTTCACAAGCTGCGCTCCTGAATTGCTATTCGGGCTTTGACTAGCCGAACGCTCCGATCGTGAATTCCCCTTAAGAGGTTCACCTGCTCTGGTCTGGGCAACCTAGCGGTATCCCACCCACGAACAAATCATGGACACTTTTATCTTTTTATTGTACGTGATTTGATGGGCACACACTCTGAACCCAGACACGTGTGAATATATATATATATATATA